TGGCTTCTGCGTGCGACGTGGGAGCAACTGGTAGGGTGCATATTTTTTGTGCGGAATATTTTCCGCCCCTGTTGCATTCGGCCAGTTCTGAGGACGGTATGGGTACTGTGCCTGAGGCACCTGATTGCCTGTCTGCTGCTCCGCCTGTTGCAGCCGGTTCTACGGCTTGTGTGACACGTCTGGTAACTGCCGTGGCCCCTGGGGTTGTTGAGCCGGTGTGTGTGTGGGTGTCAGGCCATCGCCTGCGCTGCGTGTAGTGGAGGATGTCCCTGTGGAGGTCCTCCGCCCCCACCTGTGGATGTGGTCCTGGCTCCTGGGGCCGCGGGTTCTTCTGTTTTGGAGGGGGTGCTTCGGCTGGGGAAGGTGCCTGCCATGCCTATGTGTCTCGACGACTGTCGTTCTGATGCTTCCATCCCTTTGCAGAAACGTGCACGCTGGTGTTCCGAGGCTGTTTCCCTAGATGACGTCGACAGTGTGAGCGATGTGGCCTCTGTGGATTCTTCGGACGGTGTGGGTGTGGACTGTGTGGATGGTAGTGCGGTGATGGCTGCTTGAGGGGCCTGGTAGGAATGGTGTGGTGCGGCCTGTCTCGAAGCGATCGCGGCGGGCTCGAGAGTGTCTCCCCCTTTCGTGGTGTGCCTTGGGAGGAGGTGGGGGGGTATGGTGCTCCGGGGTCCCGCAGCGTCGGTGGCGAGGCTGTGAGGGGCTCCGAGTTGCTTCCTGTCTCCCCTGCGCCTCCTGCTGTTGGATCCCCGCGGTGGGGGGGGGGGGGGGGTGATCCCTCGTCATGGTGCTGAAGGGACCTCGTCATGGTGCTGAAGGAGGGTGTGTGTTAAGGGGCCTCCCAAAACTCCTGTCCCTCAGTGGCGGGGACAATGCCATGCCTGTGTCCCCTGCTTCCCCCTCCTTCGTTGCCCCGTCTGGGGGGAGCCTAGTCCAGACTGCCTAGGTCATGACCCGTGAGGGTCGGGTGTTGGGCTTTTCTCAGGATGCCCGGGTGCTTCCGGTCCCCTGGTGCTCTTCCACTATCTGGGTGCCGCGGGTGAAGGAGTTTGTTTATGGGGTGCCGGATAGGATGCCTCCGCCGACGGCGCCGCCTGGTGGCCGGGCGTCCTCTGCCCACATACTGCTGTGGGAAGCGTACTGCTTGCGCTTTCCGATGTGGGAGTTCCCTGGTAAATATTAGTCTACGTCATGGACACAACGTGCCGCCCTCTGGTGCGGCATGTCTCCCTCTCCCGTCTACCTCTGTTTTCGTCACCGCTCCTCTGTCTACGGCTCCTCACGACTTTTGACCCTTATCATTCTCCACATACACGCGTCTCCTAACATCTGTCCTGGTGCAGTCATCGGGAAGATACGCCCTTCATGCAAACTGCACCTACTATCAAGAAGAAGAAGATAAACGATACTTGATAATGTGATGAAACACACAAACTTCCGGAATTTTCCTTTCATTTTCCTAGTAAATACTTACGCATAAGTCTAACATAGACAGTATATATAAACTGGCTGCCTGTCCCACGACACAATGAATTATTAATTTATTAACATTCCCAGTCGTTTAGTCACACAAATATTTGTCAAGAGTTCAATAAACAACTCTGGTGAAGCTCCAAGTGTGTGGCCTTCACCTGACACACAACCACCTCTAACCTACCAGAAACTACTGCATTTTTAATTACATTTTCTAACCTTATTAAAATTAATGCACTTGCTCGTTGCATGAAATTAAACACTAATTTCGTCCACCGGGTAAACCTAACCAGTCTAAAAAATTTGAATCGTTTTTTTTCCCCGCCCAGTTGAAATGGATGTTTCAACCTGTAGCCCTCACACTGTGGTGGTGACTTAACAACTGTCAATGGCAGCTTGGATGACATCCAAATTTGGGATGTTAATTAATTTGTTTCCTCAACCGAGCAAGTGGCTGATGTCGTGGAGGTGTTGTGCTCTGGTTGATGACCTCCTCCCGGCGTGAGCACATGAGGCTCCTGGTGGTGTGGCACAGTGCCGCGGCGTGGTGTGGCACAGTACACACACCCACAGCCCTTACACACACCTGCAGCACTTACACACACCTGCAGCACTTACACACACCAGCATGTCTTTGTGATTATTAACTAATCTTGTAATCCGTGTTTTGTTGTATTGTTGGTGATGTTATTAAGTAGTTGTCACTGTGAGTAAAGTGTTACCGCGGCGGTCTGTTGTGTCTGCCTGACATTAATGTGTGTAATCTTTAATTATTAATTGAATGGTTAGTGAAGTAATTCCATTGTTGTGATAGCTGTCCATTGAGGCAATATATTTAACGTAATTTGTACAGTGTAGACTAATTCTGCTCTGGCAAGCTGTCTTAAGTAAGAGGGTTGAGTTAATCTAATTCGTCATGATTAATTGGCTGTCCGTGTGACAGTAATTAATGTAATTACTCACTGATTGTTTAATTGTGTTTGTGGCAGAGTAATTACTGTGGAGAATTATCGTTTAATTGATTAATCTGCTTGTAGTGACAGATTGTAATTAACAGAAATTACCTTTGATTGACTGTCTAGATGACAATAATTAACATAATTACCGTAATTAATACAAGTATTTAACGTATTTATCTTAATTGTTTATTTGCTATTAAATTGATTGTAATACATTGTTGTTGTCTGTAATAGAACGTTAATGTAATTGTTGTTGTTTTGATTGTCGTCCATAAAGACGTGTTAACATAATTGTTGTTGATTACAAGAGACTGTCTCAGTCTTGTTGTGTCGTGTCGTGTCGTGTCGTGTCGTGTCGTGTCGTGTCGTGTTGTGTTGTGTTGTGTTGTGTTGTGTTGTGTTGTGTTGTGTTGTGTCGTGTCGTGTCGTGTTGTTGTTATAGTGGTGTGACTCAAGTTGCTTTGATTTGCATCTTGAGTCAGAGTGACCACCTGGTGTCTAGTTAGTAACAACTTGACCAGCCGAGGGCAGTACGGACCATACTGGCTCTGATTACCTGTCATAGTGTCACTTAGCTCTCATAGTGTCACTTAGCTCTCATAGTGTCACTTAGCTGTCATAGTGTCACTTAGCTGTCATAGTGTCACTTAGCTGTCATAGTGTCACTTAGCTGTCATAGTGTCACTTAGCTGTCATAGTGTCACTTACCTGTCATAGTGTCACTTAGCTGTCATAGTGTCACTTAGCTGTCACAGTGTCACTTAGCTGTCATAGTGTCACTTAGCTGTCATAGTGTCACTTACCTGTCAGTGTCACTTAGCTGTCATAGTGTCACTTAGCTGTCATAGTGTCACTTAGCTGTCATAGTGTCACTTACCTGTCAGTGTCACTTAGCTGTCATAGTGTCACTTAGGAAAATTAACGTAATGTTACATTTGTTGAGCCTTGTAGTAGTGTTAAGTTAATTAATAAATGTTTCTTGATGCCGTAAGATAAGTGCCTTGATGCCAGCAGCTTCCAATACTACTGCTCCTTAACTCATGCCGCAACACACTACACTATTTCTTGCATTTAACGAAGGTCTGCTTCTGAATTCAAACATGATTCATAGCTACACCAATAGTCCCATCACACACCCACAGCCCTTACACACACCCACAGCCCTTACACACACCCACAGCCCTTACACACACCCACAGCCCTTACACACACCCACAGCCCTTACACACACCCATAGCCCTTACACACACCCACAGCCCTTACACACACCCACAGCCCTTACACACACCCACAGCCCTTACACACACCCACAGCCCTTACACACACCCACAGCCCTTACACACACCCACAGCCCTTACACACACCCATAGCCCTTACACACACCCACAGCCCTTACACACATCCATAGCCCTTACACACACCCATAGCCCTTACACACACCCACAGCCCTTACACACACCCATAGCCCTTTCACACACCCACAGCCCTTACACACATCCATAGCCCTTACACACACCCACAGCCCTTACACACACCCATAGCCCTTACACACACCCACAGCCCTTACACACACCCATAGCCCTTACACACACCCACAGCCCTTACACACACCCACAGCCCTTACACACACCCACAGCCCTTACACACACCCACAGCCCTTACACACATCCATAGCCCTTACACACACCCATAGCCCTTACACACATCCACAGCCCTTACACACACCCACAGCCCTTACACACACCCATAGCCCTTACACACACCCATAGCCCTTACACACACCCATAGCCCTTACACACACCCACAGCCCTTACACACACCCATAGCCCTTACACACACCCACAGCCCTTACACACATCCATAGCCCTTACACTCACCCACAGCCCTTACACACACCCCCAGCCCTTACACACACCCACAGCCCTTACACACACCCATAGCCCTTACACACACCCATAGCCCTTACACACACGCACAGCCCTTACACACACCCACAGCCCTTACACACACCCACAGCCCTTACACACATCCATAGCCCTTACACACACCCACAGCCCTTACACACACCCACAGCCCTTACACACATCCATAGCCCTTACACACACCCACAGCCCTTACACACACCCACAGCCCTTACACACACCCACAGCCCTTACACACATCCATAGCCCTTACACACACCCACAACCCTTACACACACCCACAGCCCTTACACACATCCATAGCCCTTACACACACCCATGGCCCTTACACACACCCACAGCCCTTACACACACCCATAGCCCTTACACACACCCATAGCCCTTACACACACCCACAGCCCTTACACACACCCACAGCCCTTACACACATCCATAGCCCTTACACACACCCATAGCCCTTACACACACCCACAGCCCTTACACACACCCACAGCCCTTACACACACCCACAGCCCTTACACACACCCACAGCCCTTACACACACCCACAGCCCTTACACACACCCACAGCCCTTACACACACCCACACACACTCACAGCTGACACCCAGTCACAACTGAGACCCTTTTGGGAACCTCAAACCCTTAAGGGAACCTGAGACCCTTGGGGAAACCTGAGACCCTTGGGGGAACCAGAGACCCTTGGGGGAACCTGAGACCCTTGGGGGAACCTGAGACCCATGGGGGAACCTCTGACCCTTGGGGGACCCTGAGACCCGTGGGGGAACCTGATTCCCCCGGGGGGAACCTCTGACCCTTGGGGGAACCTCTGACCCTTGGGGGAACCTGAGACCCTTGGGGGAACCTGAGACCCTTGGGGGAACCTCTGACTCTTGGGGGAACCTCTGACCCTTGGGGGAACCTCTGACCCTTGGGGGAACCTCTGACCCGTGGGGGAACCTCTGACCCGTGGGGGAACCTCTGACCCTTGGGGGAACCTCTGACCCTTGGGGGAACCTGAGACCCTTGGGGGAACCTCTGACCCTTGGGGGAACCCTCAGACCCTTGGGGGAACCTGAGACCCTTGGGGGAACCTGAGACCCTTGGGGGAACCTCTGACCCTTGGGGAACCTCTGACCCTTGGGGGAACCTCTGACCCTTGGGGGAACCTCTGACCCTTGGGGGAACCTCTGACCCTTGGGGGAACCTGAGACCCTTGGGGGAACCTCTGACCCTTGGGGGAACCTCTGACCCTTGGGGGAACCTCTGACCCTTGGGGGAACCTGAGACCCTTGGGGGAACCTCTGACCCTTGGGGGAACCCTCAGACCCTTGGGGGAACCTGAGACCCTTGGGGGAACCTGAGACCCTTGGGGGAACCTCTGACCCTTGGGGGAACCCTCAGACCCTTGGGGGAACCTGAGACCCTTGGGGGAACCTGAGATCCTTGGGGGAACCTCTGACCCTTGGGGAACCTCTGACCCTTGGGGGAACCTCTGACCCTTGGGGAACCTCTGACCCTTGGGGGAACCTCTGACCCTTGGGGGAACCTGAGACCCTTGGGGGAACCTCTGACTCTTGGGGGAACCTGAGACCCTTGGGGGAACCTGAGACCCTTGGGGGAACCTCTGACCCTTGGGGGAACCCTCAGACCCTTGGGGGAACCTGAGACCCTTGGGGGAACCTCTGACCCTTGGGGGAACCTCTGACCCTTGGGGGAACCTGAGACCCTTGGGGGAACCTCTGACCCTTGGGGGAACCTGAGACCCCTGGGGGAACCTCTGACCCTTGGGGGAACCTGAGACCCTTGGGGGAACCTGAGACCCTTGGGGGAACCTCTGACCCTTGGGGGAACCCTCAGACCCTTAGGGGAACCTGAGACCCTTGGGGGAATCTGAGACCCTTGGGGGAACCTCTGACCCTTGGGGGAACCTCTGACCCTTGGGGGAACCTGAGACCCTTGGGGGAACCTCTGACCCTTCGGGGAACCTCTGACCCTTGGGGGAACCTCTGACTCTTGGGGGAACCTCTGACTCTTGGGGGAACCTCTGACCCTTGGGGGAACCCTCAGACCCTTGGGGAACCTGAGACCCTTGGGGGAATCTGAGACCCTTGGGGGAACCTCTGACCCTTGGGGGAACCTCTGACCCTTTGGGAACCTCTGACCCATGGGGGAACCTGAGACCCTTGGGGGAACCTCTGACCCTTCGGGGAACCTCTGACCCTTGGGGGAACCTCTGACTCTTGGGGGAACCTCTGACTCTTGGGGGAACCTCTGACCCTTCGGGGAACCTCTGACCCTTGGGGGAACCTCTGACCCTTGGGGGAACCTCTGACCCTTGGGGGAACCTGAGACCCTTGGGGGAACCTCTGACCCTTGGGGGAACCTCTGACCCTTGGGGGAACCTGAGACCCTTGTGGGAACCTCTGACCCTTGGGGGAACCTCTGACTCTTGGGGGAACCTCTGACTCTTGGGGGAACCTCTGACCCTTCGGGGAACCTCTGACCCTTGGGGGAACCTCTGACCCTTGGGGGAACCTCTGACCCTTGGGGGAACCTGAGACCCTTGGGGGAACCTGAGACCCTTGGGGGAACCTCTGACCCTTGGGGGAACCTCTGACCCTTGGGGGAACCTGAGACCCTTGGGGGAACCTGAGACCCTTGGGGGAACCCTCAGACAATGCCATCTGGTGGTGGTTATCTAGTACCTGCGAATGGCTATAGATCCCTGTCTTGGTCAGCCAGAGGGGTCGTTGTGAGTGACGTCTGGTGAGGTGACGCGTCAAGACCAGCGCCACCTAGTGTGTGCTACAGAGCACAATGTCAACTCCCCAGTGTGTTAGTGGTAGTTCCTAGTTCTCCAGTACCGGCAAGGTCATTGGTGACGTTTTTGTGTCCACAGAGGTGACGTCTGGGGGCAGCGGTACTAGAGAGGGCAGTTCACCTTGGACAGTCCACAGTCTCCCTACATGGTCTTGGAAACGACCAAGTAAGCCGCCGCCGATGAAGCAGTGTGGTAGCTGCTAGTGCTTTAGTGTTGAAAAGATCGGCGTACCTTTGGAACTGGCTTAGGGAAGAGACTGAAAACAGGGAGGTGCTTGTTGAGTAGTGCTGCTAGCTGGTCGCTAGAGACTGCTGCCAGGGGATCGCTACCCCTTGTATTGTGACCCCGCTCAGCGTGTGGCTGAGGTACTCTGCCAGCGAGTAGCTAGAGAGCGGTCGTGAGGGTACAGGCACCTAATAACACGGTCAGTGGGCTGGCGTGGACAACCCGTCCTCACATAAAGTTTCAAAACGGTATGAAAAACGTTAATGGAAAGTTGCCTCTTCTAAGCTTGCCGAGTAATCCGGACGACTCAAACAGAAAACAGAACAGTACGTCACTTTTGTGAGTCGATTTCATTTCAAATTACGTCCAAATTTGGCCATAGCGCCGCGCATACGAGCCAAAAGTGACGTTATTTTTAAGAGGACGGGTTGTAGAAATAGCCTATCTGTTCTTTATATATTATTATGGTGACGGTGTACATATATATACTTAACGGTGGTGGAAAGATATTTTAATATATTGACGAAAGGAACAGTGTTTTGTTCATCCCCATCCTCTTGTATGCACTACATAGCCACTTTCTTGAAAGCGTACTACCGACTTGGGGTCGGATATTATCAATTTGGTTCTACCATCAAAGAACCCGGTTGTGACCCATAGTGGCTGTAACACACTCTCACACGTGCCCCTTACACTCTCACACGTGCCCCTTACACTCTCACACGTGCCCCTTACACTCTAACACGTGCCCCTTACACACTAACACGTGCCCCTTACACCCTAACACGTGCCCCTTACACTCTCACACGTGCCCCTTACACTCTAACACGTGGCCCTTACACCCTAACACGTGCCCCTTTCACCCTAACACGTGCCCCTTACACTCTCACACGTGCCCCTTACACTCTAACACGTGACTCTTACACCCTAACACGTGCCCCTTACACTCTCACACGTGCCCCTTACACTCTCACACGCGCCCCTTACACCCTAACACGTGCCCCTTACACCCTAACACGTGCCCCTTACACCCTCACACGTGCCCCTTACACTCTCACACGTGCCCCTTACACTCTCACACGTGCCCCTTACACCCTAACACGTGCCCCTTACACCCTAACACGTGCCCCTTACACTCTCACACGTGCCCCTTACACCCTCACACGTGCCCCTTACACTCTCACACGTGCCCCTTACACTCTCACACGTGCCCCTTACACTCTCACACGTGCCCCTTACACTCTCACACGTGCCCCTTACACTCTCACACGTGCCCCTTACACCCTAACACGTGCCCCTTACACCCTAACACGTGCCCCTTACACCCTAACACGTGCCCCTTACACCCTAACACGTGCCCCTTACACTCTCACACGTGCCCCTTACACCCTAACACGTGCCCCTTACACGCTAACACGTGCCCCTTACACGCTAACACGTGCCCCTTACACCCTAACACGTGCCCCTTACACCCTAACACGTGCCCCTTACACCCTAACACGTGCCCCTTACACCCTAACACGTGCCCCTTACACCCTAACACGTGCCCCTTACACACTAACACGTGCCCCTTACACCCTAACACGTGCCCCTTACACCCTAACACGTGCCCCTTACACCCTAACACGTGCCCCTTACACCCTAACACGTGCCCCTTACACCCTAACACGTGCCCCTTACACCCTAACACGTGCCCCTTACACCCTCACACGTGCCCCTTACACTAACACGTGCCCCTTACACACTAACACGTGCCCCTTACACTAACACGTGCCCCTTACACACTAACACGTGCCCCTTACACGCTAACACGTGCCCCTTACACGCTAACACGTGCCCCTTACACGCTATAAGGGGCACCCATATAAGGTGTTCCCATATAAGGTTCCCTTATATGGGAACACTTCTATGGAAGAAATGAAATGTATGCTCGTGATGGGGTGCATCTATCGAGAGCTGGGGTTGTTGCTGTTGCGAACTCGTTGGAAGAAGTGGTTAGAGGTGTTTGTTTGGGTTTAAACTGTTAGTAGATAGAGGTATGGGAATTGATTTGGAGGAAGGAGGTAATAAAAGTATGTGTTTGTGGGAGAAAGGAATTGGCAAAACGATCAGGGAAAGAGAAGGTCCGCAAAATAACAATTCACTTAGGGTATATTACACTAACAGTAGAAGTCTAAGAAATAAAATTAACGAATTAAATGCTCTTGTCTGCACAGAAAAAATAGATATTATTGCACTTACCGAAACGTGGATGAATGTAGAAAATAGAGAACTATTAGCTGAATATCAAATATACGGATTTAAACTATTTCACACAGATAGATATATTAGACGAGGAGGTGGAGTAGCCATATATGTTAGGGACAATTTGAAATGTAGTCTCAAAGAGGGAATCAAAACAGAGCCACACACAGAAACTATTTGGATAGAATTAAACGAAAAAGCTAATAATATTATAATAGGAGTAATATATAGGCCACCAAATTTAGACAGAATGGAAGCAAAGCATCTATGGGATGAAATATCTAGAGCATCTAGATCTTACAGTATTTATGTCATGGGTGACTTTAATTTTAGCGGAATAAACGGGTTGAACAAAACAGGGAATAGTGAAGCAGAAGATTTTCTAGAATTAATTGACGATTGCTTTCTTACGCAACACATTAAGGAACCAACACGGGAAAATAATATTTTAGATTTAGTGTTAACTAACAGGGAAACGCAAATTAATGACATCGAAATAGGGAGTGAGCTAGGGAACAGTGATCACAAAGAAATCAGATTTAGCATAGAATGGAATAGACCAGTAGGAGAAAATTCTGTTAAAGTGCCAGATTTTCGAAAAGCTGATTTTAATAGCCTAAGAATTTTTTTGGGTCAAATTGATTGGAAAGTCTTGGGTATGTGGTGTGGGCCGGTCTTGGAGCGAGACATGAACCCAGCGATAGGTGACTTAAATGGGGATTTCGATGTGGATTCAATATTTAACTTATTTAAGAATATTCTAAACAAAGCACAGGAACGTAGTATACCATACAAATTGAATAGATCGAATACTAATGACCCAAAGTGGATAACAAAGAATTTGAAGAACCTTATAGGTAAAAAGAGAGCTTGGTACAAAAGGATTAAAAATGGGGAGGTCACTTTAGAACAGGAATTCGTACAACTGGTTAGAAATGTTAAAAAAGAGATAAGGAAAGCAAAAAGAAACTATGAAGTTCGCATAGCAGGGCAAGCAAAGACAAATCCTAAAGGGTTTTTTCAGTTATATCGTACTAAGACTAGGGAAAGGATAGGTCCATTAAAAACTGATACAGGTCAAATAACAGATAGTGATGAAGAGATGAGTAGTATTTTTAATAAATATTTTGTATCTGTATTTACTAAAGAGGAACTTAACAATATGCCTTCAGCTGAACAAGTCTATGTGGGTGGGGACGAGGACAGGTTGACGAGTTTAGCAGTTACCAGGGAGGATGTTCTTAAACAAATAGTAAAACTCAAACCAAACAAATCCCCAGGGCCGGATGAAGTGTTTGCCAGGGTGCTTAAAGAATGCAAAGAGGAGCTTTGTGACCCACTGTCAACAATATTTAATAAATCAATAGAGTCAGGCAGAGTGCCAGAGTTTTGGAAAGTTGCTAATGTGATACCAGTTTTTAAGAAAGGAGATAGATCACTTGCGTCTAACTATCGACCAATTAGCCTAACGTCTATTGTGGGAAAGTTACTCGAATCTATAATAGCAAATAAAATTCGTCTTCATCTTGAAAAACATAAATTAATAATTGAGTCTCAACATGGTTTTATAAATGGCCGTACATGTTTAACAAATTTGTTATCTTTTTATTCTAGCATTGTTGAGGCAGTTGATAGTGGTAAGGATTGCGATGTTGTATACCTTGACTTTAGCAAAGCTTTTGATACAGTGCCACATGAAAGACTGATTAAAAAGATAGAGTCTCATGGTATTGGGGGGTGCTATATTAAGCTGGATTAGGGCATGGCTATACCAAAGGAAACAGAGAGTTAGTATAAATGGAATCAAGTCAGAGTGGGAAAATGTTGTAAGCGGAGTGCCTCAAGGCTCTGTCCTGGGACCTCTGTTGTTTATAATATATATAAATGATTTAGATTCAGGTTTGAGTAGCAACATTTGCAAATTTGCCGATGATACGAAAATCGGTAGGGAAATTAATTCGGAGGAGGACTCACTATCACTTCAAGTTGATCTAGATAGGGTTTTGAAATGGTCAAAGGATTGGCAGATGCAGTTTAATGCTGATAAATGTAAAGTTCTGAGGTTAGGTAATGATGATAGAGTTACAAGATACGAGCTAGATGGTGTTGTGATTGCGAAGTCGGATTGCGAAAGGGATCTGGGAGTTATGATTAGTAAGAATTTAAAACAAAAGGATCAATGCATAAATGTTCGTAATAAGGCAAATCGGACACTTGGATTTATTAATCGCAGCGTTAGTAACAAGACACCTGGTGTGGTTCTCAAGCTATATCTTGCTCTAGTTAGGCCCCATTTAGATTATGCAGTTCAGTTTTGGTCGCCATATTATAGAATGGATATAAATTCACTTGAACGTGTCCAGCGTA